AGTTAAACCACGACAGACCTACAAGAATGTTTCTGTTTTCAGAGTAACATCTACTTCTTTTTAATCAACAGCCATTTTCAGTCTCAGGAAAATCAGCCAACAACCTGTAGGTTCTATTCAACTTCCTTCTCCTGTCCAATTGGCAGTCTTTCTCTAATATTAAATGTACATGTTATGTCAAGAATTTCACTGCTCTAGAAAAAAACAAAGACCAAGACATAACTGCTAAGCAGCAATAACTAATTACTGGTTCTGAGTAGAGATTTTGAAAGAGAAGCAGGTCAGGTACGTACTGCTCTGAAAGAGGCATCTAGAGGCCAGTGGCCAAAACAGTGTTGCAGAAAGATATAAAGTTTCTCCTGGACAAACCGAGGAATTACAACCCTGCAAACAGATTCAGAGACAGTCACATGTAAAAAACATAAGCAAATGTTAAAAACACACAAACCCAACCGACCAACAACCCAGCACATTTCCACAAATGCAAATACAGAAAGGTCTGAGCCAAACTTGTTCTGAACTGAAGCTGCTTCTGGCCACTGAATTTCAATTCAAATACAGAAATATAAAATTCTCCACTAACCTTGGCCAGAATTTTCTGGTAAAATTTTCTTTTCTCTGACTTGTGCTGAGATACAGACTAATGTAACAGCAAGACATCCCCCCTCCTGAAGCTGCCCCCACCCTATCTACTAGATGTGAGAAACATCATCCATTAGCTCCCATGTACTTTTAATAACATCCTTCTGTATTTAGCCATCCAATTCATCAAAACCCCATCAATTCAACCTCTCAGTGAAAGCAGAGCTTGTCAGGGTGAAGCCCTATGTGTTTCAGAGACTGTCCACTCATGTGCATACCTTTTAAACTCCTCGAGTGGGCTGGCACTGTGGGAGTGGGCTGAAGGGGAGAGAGGCTCTGGTTTCAGGCTGTTGCTGAAAGCGTGCAGATGTTTCACAAGCAGTCTTACCACGAGCACATGCTCTTCAGTGGGCTTAAATGACTCCTAGATTCAAAGTAAAAACAGGAAGATAATGAGTGTCATATGCTAAAGGTCCAGGAGATAATTCAGGAAAATTGTATTCTCAGATCAGAATTTGAAGTACAAGAAATGCTCTCTTCCTTCTAGGTTCTTCGCTGTAGTTTGGTGCCGCGTCACTTTAGAGAGACTTGCTCCGCAGGACAAGCTGCATCAATATTCTGCCATCAGTTCACTACGAAACAGTAGTGCGTTTTTGATAACTTTTTCTTCCAATCATGTTATCTACAGTACTCTAATGCCCTAGCATTAAAGAACAGAATAAGTTGTAGATTTTGACTTACCCCTTCCTGAAAAAAGAATGTTCAGGCTTTCATTATGGTTCTAAGTTCATTGCTGTGGACAGCACAACAGATCCTTTGTTTATGCTCTTGGCTGGCTTTACTGAGTTCTCCTTCCTATGCTGGTACTCGTCTGCCTTACAAGAAAGAGTAATTCTAGGAAGAGTTACAGTAAGAGTAAGAACTGCTTCAAGTCCTGCATGATCCTGTGGCTTCTAGCATCGTTATGGGTAGAAGCAGCCTGGGCAGGAGTAGCACAAGGAGTGATGGTGAGCCACGGTGATGTTACTAATAAATGAGTGAGTGTATGAGGTAGCAGGGAGATGAATGAGGTAAAAAAGAGCTAATTCTCCTGGGCACCCAGTGCCAGAGCTGGTCTGCTGCAGAATCTGGGGACAAAGCACTAGCTCCTCTGCTGCTGTATTCTGCTTTATGAGCAGTGAACTCATCTCAATCCACTCCTGAAGGCAGATTTTTAAGATCTCATTTGTATTTTAAATTTCACAGCTCTCATGTTGCTCAGGAGTTGGGAAAATGTACATGAAACAGAAGTTACAGCTGCAAGTGTAATGGAAGATGCTGGAGTGTATTAGACAACGGCTACCAGATGTTTCCAGGATGCCAAACGCAGCCAGGCTGAGGTAACACGCCGACTATGACTCTAGGGGCCTGGCAGGCATTTTTAAACAAAAAGCTTCTGCTTCTTAAATCCAATTAACAGGATTTCCAGTGCTGGGGGCAGGGGGACTAGGCTGTGTGTCCTCTCTCTGAGGCAAAACAGACGTGTTTTTACAATCTCTTAAGATTTTTCATACAGTGTAAAGTTCACTCCAGGAAAAGATTCAAGGCTTGATGATAGTCACATGGTACAGCCAGATCCAAGAGTCTTCTGAGAGAGAGGATAACCAGTTACCAGTTCTAATGAAGGCTGCTCTTGTGTTCTTGGCAGCTCCTGGTACGCCAGCATGTTTAGCTCTACAGTTCAGAGGAGAGTTTAGCTAAGAGGGTAGAACTCTGAGAAGTTACTTTATCCTAGGAGTTTAGATCAGGATCTCCAAAAGCAATTAGAGGAGTTAAAGATTCTGCTATAGGCCTTGAAAGGGTGTAATTTTAACACACTTCTAGGTTCTTCTTGAAGGTACCTTTTGAATTTACAAAACCACCAGTACCGCTATCTCAATACATCATTTCAGGTGACACTGGGAGTTCTTCCACTTAGCAGTTCTTTTAGCCTGGATCAGCACCACTAGGAACATCACTGCTTTAAAAAGTGGTTTTCCTCACAAGTGTTTTTGTTGTCAAACCTTATCTTACAGGATGGATGTATGACATTCTTCTCTTAACACACTGATTACATAAACATAATAGCAAAAAAGATTTAAAGACCAGTAGTGGTTCCTGTTTTCCTTTCTCAGCAGTACTTTGAGATATCATAGCACGTTTTGTTATAAAGGATTAAACATCAGGAAAATTCCAGGTAGTACTAAAGAGCTTTTCAGTACATATACTCAGCCCTCCCTTCTCCCAGAATGAAGTCCCAGTGAATAAAGGGCTGAAGTAGAGAAAGAGGAATCAGCAATCTGTTCCAACAGGAATGTTTTTGCATGCACATTTCCTGAACAATCTGCAAATGTATCACTTGTGTCCTTTGGCAAAACTGGACAGTCAAGTTCACATTGCCACTACAAATTTAGTGCTATCCAATGACATTTCACTGGCTAAAACACCCTAGATGTTACCTACCTTAATTTGAGGTGGCAGCCATGCAAATTCTGATCATCCCTTCCATGCAAACTTTGCTTAAATGCCTGGTGTGCAGGGGTGGGGGGCAGAAATCTGCCATCGGGGAAAGCCAGTTCTGGTGTCAAAAAACGCCAGCGTAGCTGATAAACCTCTTTGTACAATCCATTACAAGAATGCAGCTCCAAATACAGAATTCCCAATTAGTCCTCATAATATGCTAGATTTTAACTACTTTCTCCATGCCTGGAGAAGAGGAGGCTCCGGGGAGACCTTACTGCAGCCTTCCAGTGCCTGAAGGGGCTACAAGGAAGCTGGGGGGGCTTTTTACAAGGGTCCGTAGTGACAGCACAAGGGGTAACGGGTTTAAATTGAAAGTGGGGAGGTTTAGATTGGCTATCAGGACGAAATTCTTCCCAGAGAGGGTGGGGAGGCACTGGAACAGGTTGCCCAGAGAAGCTGTGGATGCCCGATCCCTGGAAGTGCCCAAGGCCAGGCTGGATGAGGCTTGGAGCAACCTGGTCTAGTGGAAGGTGTCCCTGCCCATGGCAGGGGGGTTGGAACTGGATGATCTTTAAGGTCCCTTCCACCCCAAACCATTCCATGATTTTATGATCTTTGCCAATACCTTTCAGTACGTGTTTTCACTGAAAATTTAGTACATCTCAATGCAGTGTTCTCAGTGAAGCTGTAAAACCACATCTCAGGAGAAAAAGCTGCTCTGCAGCTGGCACCACTACACTTTGCAGATTATATGATGGAACGAGATTTTTATAAAGGAAACAAAATGAAATGATGATAATACTTGGTATGCGTGGAGGGCCTGGTAGCTGGATTGGGCAGGACTACCGTGGTGTTTACTGGAGATACTGAGTCGGTAGTGGAGAACCTCCAGCTGAGACAACAGAAACAAAAAGGAAGGGGGGGAGGGGAAAAAAGGAGAGAAGAGAGCAAGAGAAAAAAAAAAAGTGAGAATGAGCCCAAGGAAGAAGAGTGGGGGAAAAATGAACATCACAAATACAGTCAGGGACAACATATCACATAACAACTGCAGCCACAGTATCCTCTTCTTTCTGGTGTTCAGTAGATTGATTCCACAGTATTTCATAGCCTTTATCAACCTGGAAGTACAACTGGGAGCAGGTGTCAGAAGAGTAGAGCTGTAAGTGGCTGCGGCTGTTCTCTTTGCTGCCCTCAGAGCAAGTACTGCTAGGGGACTGGGAGTTTTTGCCAAACAGACTCCCCACTTCAGAAGTTAACTGAACCGCAGCCACAAGGACTTGCACACTGTTGGGGTGTTTTATTAAGTAATGGGGAAGTGTTCTATATTCTGCAAGCTTTGTTAACACTATTTTGAAAATTCTGTCATTTCTTCCTGTACTGTTGGAGAAGGGTTGGTATACGGGGAAGAAACGGAAATATCTACTTTTGTCTTCCCAAGGAACAGGAAGAAAGTAAGTTTGTCTTTTCATAATCACTGTGAGCCTGTCCAATAAGTTTCCAGTTTGACAAATCCTCTGTCTTCTCTTTCTACTTAAGGGGCATTTGGGAGGTCTTGGGCATTTCCTCGAAAGAGGAAATTACTTTTCCTCTCAGGGAAACATCACCTGTATGAAAAGGCAAAAGACACACCTAACGCAGTGTTACACGCTGAGGCAAAAGGCATCTTGCCTTAACACTGATGTCTCTGCAAGCCTCAGCCAGATCCCTTCTTGGATGAAGAATGTAATGAGTATTTTTTGGACAATGTGGAGGTGAAGAGGATACTGTAGTGACAGTGACACACATGTATGAAATTCATGAAAAAACACAAAACAAAAAATGTGCACTACACAGATCCCAACGACCACTGTCAGGCACCTAAACTAACTCTCCAGATCACACCTCTGCCGTCTCTGGACAGCCCCTACCCAATCTCCTCTAGTGCCAGTTCGGTACCTGTAGGTTTTATGCTCTTAAGAGTGGTAGGACTCTTACTACAAGCTCCCCAGCAGCTCACACACACCATCTGCTTCATAACCAACTCCCCTGCCACAGGAACCAGCAAGAGCCTGCCACGTGCAGTGCTGGGGTCTGTGGCACCTGGCGTTGGCAGGTCAGGAAGTTTGATAAAACTCAAAGTTTTATCAAACAACTTATTTTTAAGGGTTCATGGTGATTACAGGAGAAAGCAATAGGAAGAGATGCTGAACACTTGGGCTCTGGATCATCCAAGAAAGAAAAAGCAAATAGACAATGTAACAGAATGTTAAAATAGTTGAATTAATAGGGAAAACAGTGAAACTCAGCATAGCAAATAGTATCAACCTAAGGTTCACACAGGAACCAGACAGAATTCAAAGCAGGGAAGTAGAAAAGGAGTACATCTTCTCAAAAAGAACTATTTACTATTCATCCCATTCCCCTATCCTCTACTTGTCATCACAGGCTTCTCTTTATATTAACGAGGTTTAAGGAAAAAAATCTGCATTCCTCGAGACTTGGCCCATCAAAGCAAACAAGTCTGGCTGCTGGACAAAGAAAGGACAAGCTCGGGGGAACCTCATCCCACCTTCCAATACAGGTATGTAGCCATTTCAAGTCACTGATGGTCAAACACCTCTAGATCCATGGATGAATGGTCACTAATCACCCTTCCTTCCAAACCCACAGAAGGCTAAATGTAATCAAGTGAACCTGCATAATTATTAATAATAAGGTTTAGGGTGATCTTGGGTTTCCAGTCAAGCCCTTCAACCCTGATGTTACAACAAAACTTGCATTTCTACATATTGTACTTCCTCATGTGAGGAACCATGAAGCAGACTATTCTCCTTCAGCCCACCCTGAGACCGGTTTACAAGTCTTAGTTTAAGCATTGCAGGCTTATGAATAGGCCTGGACTGTTCTGGAACCTTTCCTCAGTCCTGCAGGAAGATTCTTTTCCCCAGGACATCCATAAATGGGCATTCTGGTCACCTATTCAAGTGTTCTAACCCCAAAGAGCAAAGACTTCCTTTTTTACATGCCTATGGTTACTGCCCATCAAAGATGAAACTAAAATACCATCAGGGAGTTACAGCCTCAAGCTGTGGCTCAACATACCTTGAAGGAGGACCCTGAAGTGATGATTTTAAGCTCTAACTAGGCCCTATTCCACCATAAAATTGGTACTCATTGTAACTGTGTCTCCCTAGTGTTAAAAGAGAGTATCTGAAATACAGAGCGTGAGCAGCGGAGAGAAGTTTAAAGCAATCATTGTTTCTGGCCTAAGCACAGCACTTGATGCACAGGGACTGGACAGACAGACCAAAGGTACTTCAAGCAATGCCTTTCTACCACAGTAGCACAGCCATACTGCTGGGAGGCCCAAGTGGAGACTTTGCAACATTAGTGAGTTTGCATTTTGACCTCAGCTTCAAGAACGAAAGACAAAACCCATCACACTTCAGCTCTCCAGTGTTTTCCCCTAGCAAAATATAAGTGCTGGTTATTTTATAGCCTGTGGAGTGAAGGATCGGAATTTCTTGGTCAATCAACTCATACTGCTCTTTCACACAGGAATAAATCCTGAGTAGCTTTTATAATCCTCTCCCCTTCTATGAAAGTCCCACTGTGGCCCAGAGGGAATTCAGAGGATCAACATTTTCTCCTTCAAATTCCCTTTAGATTTGTAAGGCCTTTGACGTTAGCCTCCCCAGCACTCAGTTTTCACATGCAGTAGTTTGTTACTGAACAGGCCACCACAAACTGGTTAAAACGGTGCGTTATCTGAGCAAGACCTTGTAGGACACCGAGCTCTCTTAACTACAGAATTGCTTCTGACACCATGGTGATGAAAAGCCTATTTTGGAATATGAAACAACAAAAATGGCTTATTCACTCAATACTGAAGGCCAGTTTAGTAAGATTTGCTTTTTTAATTTGGATTTATGCAAAAAAATGGTTACGAATCTTAGAAATCATTAATTGACATTTCAGGAAGCTGCTATCACTGCTGGAAATTCATTTTAGTTATTTTTAGCAGCCATGTTGCCCCAGTGGGATGTGACACTATGGTTTTATAGTGGCATCTTCCCCATCACTAGCAGTTTGATTAATAGTGTTCAGGTTGTTGTGACCATTCCACAAACTCATCTTTAAAAAAAAAAAAAACCCAAACAAACAAAAAACCAAAACGAAAACAACACAACTTCTGCAATGAAGGCAAATCTGGATGACACACTTATTCACAACACTCTTCATAACTGGATTAGCAATTCTGACACATTCATGTAGATACTCTGATAAGTTCTTCCTTCCTTTAGACCAATATACAAAAAAATTCCCCACAGAATAGGAGATTTACTCCTGAGAAGAGGTCAACCACCAGATGATGCTCGTGAATGAAGTACAAACTATTACCTTGACATGAGGGGACTGCATTTTCTGATACATTTCCAGTGAATAATGATGAAGCCACATTTCAACAAAGATCTGCAAAACAAATATTTTCTCAGCTAGGGTTTTTTTTTGAAAGAGAAATAATCCAGGAGTCGTTAGTCACAAGCTAGGTATAAGGGAAGACTGTAGTATGTAACTTGAAAGCTAAGCTGTGCTTGTAAGCAGACAAGCACCTCGTCAGTGCAAAGGACTGAGCTGGCATACTGACAGCACCTGCTCAGCATCAACAGTTCAGGTCAGCAACCTGGTAAGAACTTCTTTCAGAACAACTGTTAAGTCCAGATTCTCCTTTCCCTTCCCCTGATGGTGAACAGAACCAACCTCTCTGTGCTCAACCTTTGCTTAGAGCATAGAACTGCTGTAAGATTAAGAAAAAAAAAATTACTCAGATGTTTGCCATCAGTTACAGTCTTAAAAAAAAAAGATATGAAGTGCCTTTCTAAATTACAGCTTAACCATTTCACAGGGGTTCTTTGTTTCACTAACAGAAAGCAACAGCTGCACTGCTCAATTCCAAAAACAAGCTAAAGCAAAATGGCATAACTGTCCCTGGTTTAAAAAGAATAGATTCCTCAGTTAGCAGCAAAAAATGTGGGTGTTTTCTTCCTTAAATCCAGCTTACCTGAAGCAGTGTTTCTGATCTCCAGATCTCCTGGGAAGCGGGGTCAGCGTTCACAGAAGGCTGATGGGCTATGTGCCGTTTGAGCAAGCTGGTGTGATGCATGCCGTAGGAAGTGAAAGGCACTGCTGGAGACCTTTAAAAAAGACCAGTGAATGGAAATACTGAAGTCAGTAAGCCCCAGTACAGGGAAACACATCATTGCTTTTCATCACCAGCTTGTAACTGGAAAACAGCCTTTGAGAAGTGCAGCTGCATAGCTGGTTACAGATGTCAAGCTTCTGCAACGTGTCACGTTCCTAGTCACTTCAGCTATAAACAAACACGACGGGCATGTACAGTCAGATCTATCCTGCTCCAGTGGCAGGTCACAAAACACAACTGGAGCTGCTGAACTGATGAATTTTTGTTGCTTGTACATGCCTCTTCTGCCCCAATAATAGCTACCTTTCAGACTTTCAAATGAGACCTTTCTGGTAAAATTAAGTGACCATAAATCTATGTAATTTTTGTAATTATATATTAAGTGCATACAGATCATAAAGAGCAGAGGTGTTTTCCACTTGTCAGAGATTTCGTTCCAACAAGCCATGGTTTGCAAGCGCTGTTCCTACAACTTGCCTCTGGCACCGTAGTCATTACCTGGGAGTTGGGGAAGGGATGGCTCCCCCAGGATTTGAAGAAGGCAGAGGAAGGACACTTCCTTCTGTGGGTAGGAAACACTTCAGGTACGTATCCACCAAGATGAAATAAGCACTGTTGGAAGGGCTGATGTGATGAGTGGCCGGTGAGTTCTGAAACAGCCAGACAGGGTGTACCTGAGTTACGTACTGTCACTTTAAGCCACTGCCAGCCAGACCCATTCAGTATAAATCAGCAGAAGCCAGGTGGTTATAAAAGGGTGAACTGACAACAAAGGCTTGATGGAGCAAAGGTGAAGTCACTAACTGTGAGAGAACTGTTGCTGTAGTAGCAAACGAGAACAAGCAGGAGGAGAGTGCAGTGTTATAAAGCACAGCCAACAACAGGTAGGAAAACAACCAGACACAACAGGACAAAGCTGGGGCTATGACTGCATAAACCGTGTTACTGAATAGGGGGGTAGGAAATGCTCCGTGTTGGCACGTTGCTGGACAGACTACTTACTGGTATAGCTAAGGTGGGTATTTTGTTTATTATCCAGTCTTGCTTCATCAACTGAACCAAAGCAAAAAGAAATTCTAGAAGTACAGCTACAACTGCTGCTAACTTTGCTTTAAGAGCCTGCCGAGATGCTGCCCAGCTTTGTGAAGAAAGGCTAATGCCTTTTAAGGGAAAAATTGTGACAGGCACTTACCTTCTGTGTAATCAAACTAATTGCAAAGTAAAACATGTAATATTCAAATGGGTCTGGAAGAAGAGAGTCAAGGATCAGATAATAAAGAACAGGTACAGCTGTTAAGATATCTGGGGATGCTGACTAGACATTAAATTTTTATTTTGTCAATGCTAAATTAACTTGCTAGAGCTTAACAGCAGATTGAGCTTTGCCTTCTTGCTTTCCAGCTGACCCACACATTGGTAATGGAAGTTTTCTCTATGCAGCAAGGTGCGTCTGCATTACTCTGCTTTGACTGTCTTAAACTGAAAGCGGTGCGGCTGCAGCTAGACTGCTTCCAACAAGCACGCTATCTGCAAAGTTAAGATGCCCTTTTTCCATCCTACTACATAAATGGAGAGGAGTTATGAAAACAGAAATTGGGAAGTACAGGCTCTTACGGAAGTCACTGGGAATTCTGTTGTTGACTTGAATAAGGCCAGAAAATCCCAGCAAGGGCTTGTAAGGCGCCAGATTTGTTTTTCATTGGAATCTAAACATTTCTGATCAGCCCAAACTCATTAGCACGACCGTGACTTACCAATGACATGTTATAAATATACAAGAGAAATGCTTGTAACATCTCAGTTTTAGATATTTAAAAGGAATTAAATATCCAACTGTTAAAAGGATACTAAGAGCCAAATTCAAACCTAAACTACCAGGTGAAGGAAACTGGACTTTATTGTGGTATAAAGAACATTCTGGTAGGACTTGCTCTTGTATTGATGCCTTCACGGGGCCCTGAAAGAGAGTAATGAAATATTAATCTGGCAGAGAGTAATTAAACTTGCAGAGTATGTTTGCAACAGTGAAGTTCTGCTGCGTTTCAGTATTCTGGGATCTTATCTACATTCAACTTGGGGGTATTTTACTGCATTGCAGTAGTTCCTTGTGCAAATGCATACTCTTTAGATAACGGCCACCTTTCTCACTGAAAATGAGTGTTCAGTATAAGAGGGGAAAAAAAGGGCCTTAACCAAGACTTTTTAGTTGGAGTGGGAGCAGCAGAAGACTGGTGTTTGCCTGATGGTTTTGTCAGAATAACTGAGCTGCGGACCAGGAATTACTATATATTTTAATGATGTTTCCCTTTGTTAAAAACTGTAGGACTATCTGAACTAATTTCTAGATAGCAAGTAGCTGGTAGCAATGGAAGAAACATATTGAAACAACTCTGCAGACAAGCATTTTTGTTTGAAATGTCGTACTTTGTATTCAGGATAGCAGTTAGTCTTCAAACACACGGGCACAAAGTGCAGCTAGGGAAGGCACTGCTCTGTGACCAGCCTGGCCAACTATTTTTGATCCTGCAACTACTGGTAACCAAGATAATGCACACGACTTTCTCTAGGGACAGAATCACAATGCAGCTTTCTTGGCCGAACATCACAGTTAGCTAGCTGCTGACAACCACTGTCTTCTATAAAAGTTTATTGCTGGGAACTCTCCTCCTCTAGGAACCAATTAAAGAAATAGGTATGTTCTAAACCTGGAGCACTGAGGCTATACCTTGGCCTACACCAAACCGAACCGTACGTATAAAGTGAGTGCGAAGTTCCAATAACTGCAACAACTACATTCTCTTCTTACAGATTTTTTAGTTACTCACTGGAAGATATGAGACTGGGAAATCGTATCTGTACTCTTCTGCTTGGAGTTTGTAAACAAGCTTCATCATTGGGCCACTGCAAACAAGCATCAATCCAGAGTAAGTACATTCTCCTGTCTCACTTCTGTGAACTTACATTTGCACATCGGGAAAAGGTCAAACACTGGTTATTTTTCACCATGCGTTTTTAATCTGTGCTGAAATACATGAGGTTACCTGGGATCTAGGAAATCCAAAGCCACAGAATATTCGGTAGGATTTGTTCTTCCTTGCAAACAGCGAAGATTCCAGCCTACAATGATGCCGTCCAGGCTACCAAAAATGCTCTCCACCAGCCATGGGAAGATGCCGTGTAATTCCTTTATGGAAAACAGACACACAGAGTTAATATGTACAATTCCTCACTTGAACAATCCCTACTGCATGTCCTAGAACGCACAAACATTCTGCCTGCCAGCTACTTCTGGCTGCTCCAAGATTATCACTCGGCAGAGCTTCTATTCAAAAGAATGGATTATAATACAGCAATTACAGGAAATCTATCCCGATTTCTGATCCTACTGAAGTTCCAACGATACTCCTCAGTCTCGCATGCAACTACTTGTCACATTTTAAAAGCTTGTCTTCCTTGTCAATTGAGGCCATCAGGTACTAGCTAAGTGCAGCCAAGTGAAACAAACTTTTTAATGACTGGAAAAGGTTTTTAACCCTTGGGAAACACTGGATTCCCACTGTTTCACCTGAGGTCCTCAAAACTCTTGAGAAGAGTAACAGGAACAAAGACATCAGTAGTATGAAAAATGCAAATTCCCCTGAAATATGCCGGACAGTGAGTTTTTGAAAAGGCAGCGACTGCTCACCTTGGCGGGAAACTCCTCAATGACTGTCTCCAGATCGTGGCACCTCTGAACAAACGGTTTGTTTATGCAATCTGCCTTCAAAGTGGCCTGTTACAAATCATAAGGCAAGTCAGATCGCCAGAAAGGGCACTATGTACCACGGCCATGACGTAAAAATCCCCCCGTTACGCCGCTCCTCCGGTACAGCGCTTTTATTGATAGGGCCGGAGTTGCATTGACCGACTTCACAGGCACGTAACAAAGCTGACGGTAACCCAGAAGCCGCCCGTCCATCCGAAAGAGGCC